TACACCTACACAAGGCTGACTATCAGGGCACTAGTACACCTACACAAGCCTGACTATCAGGGCACTAGTACACCTACACAAGGCTGACTATCAGGGCACTAGTACACCTACACAAGGCTGACTATCAGGGCACTAGTACACCTACACAAGGCTGACTATCAGGGCACTAGTACACCTACACAAGGCTGACTATCAGGGCACCAGTACACCTACACAAGGCTGACTATCAGGGCACTAGTACACCTACACAAGGCTGACTATCAGGGCACTAGTACACCTACACAAGGCTGACTATCAGGGCACCAGTACACCTACACAAGCTTGACTATCAAGGCACTAGTACACCTACACAAGCCTGACTATCAGGGCACTAGTACACCTACACAAGCTTGACTATCAAGGCACTAGTACACCTACACAAGCCTGACTATCAGGGCACCAGTACACCTACACAAGCTTGACTATCAAGGCACTAGTACACCTACACAAGCCTGACTATCAGGGCACTAGTACACCTACACAAGGCTGACTATCAGGGCACTAGTACACTACACAAGCCTGACTATCAGGGCACCAGTACACCTACACAAGCTTGACTATCAAGGCACTAGTACACCTACACAAGCCTGACTATCAGGGCACTAGTACACCTACACAAGCTTGACTATCAAGGCACTAGTACACCTACACAAGGTAGACTATCATCAAACAAACACCACTCGTGTCGAGGAGCCGGATAGACGCGCGTGTCTAGCCAGGGTAGTGTGGGTACGTCCTGGGTGTAAGGAGGGTGTGGCTACCCTGGTACACCACTGGCCAGAGGTTGGTGACCCACGCCTGCCCTCAATACACCCCCCCATCACAAACCCCATCTCCTCTACCCCTCCCTTCCTACCCCTCCCTTCTTACCCCTCCCTTCCTACCCCTCCCTTCCTAACCCTCCCTTCGCCTCCTGCCTCCCTCACTCGTCTGCTCTTGTAAGCACGTGTCAGCATCTTCACTCAGACCCGTGCGCTGGTTTGAATTGCAGTTTGCCATTGCAAAAGCACTTCAATCACCCTAATTCGAGTGTTCAATAAACCACTACACTACATATGGGACATATTGAGATTACCCTAATTATTAAAATCTTTATTGACAAAATTAATTACAATTTTGCCTAATCTGTGGATTTCAATTAAGTCTTAACTATTGGCCTTAGCGAGGATGTTATCCATTATTTGCCTGTCCTTTGAGTACCTATTTACTGCTAGATGAATAGAGGCATCAGGTGTAAGGTCCCATTAGGCCAACTAGTGAACCATTCATTGAATCTTGAAACAAGGTTATCAGCTCTAACTTAAAATGAATTTTGGGGTTCAGACCCTAAGCCCCATTATGTGCCTCTAATCTTTTCCACTCTCGCCCACAGGATGGGTATGGGGTCCACTACCACCCACAGGATGAGTATGGGGTCTACTACCACCCACAGGATGAGTATGGGGTCTACTACCACCCACAGGATGAGTATGGGGTCCACTACCACCAAGAGGATGGGTATGGGGTCCACTACCACCAAGAGGATGGGTATGGGGTTCACTACCACCCACAGGATGGGTATGGGGTCCACTACCACCCACATGATGGGTATGGGGTCCACTACCACCCACAGGATGGGTATGGGGTCCACTACCACCCACAGGATGGGTATGGGGTCCACTACCACCCACAGGATGGGTATGGGGTCCACTACCACCCACAGGATGGGTATGGGGTCCACTACCACCCACAGGATGAGTATGGGGTCCACTAACACCCACAGGAAAGGTACGGGGTCCACTACCACCCACAGGATGGGTATGGGGTCCACTACCACCCACAGGATGGGTATGGGGTCCACTACCACCCACAGGATGAGTATGGGGTCCACTACCACCCACAGGATGGGTATGGGGTCCACTACCACCCACTAAATTATAACAGATTGCAAACTATCATATATAAAATAGTTTTATTAAACATTTCAATAAGAATATTATATATGAAAGAAAATGAGGGAAAACTCAAAGTCAGAACAACATAGTGTGTTTGTGTTGGTCGTGGGTTTGGTTGGGTAATTGTGGGTTAGGATAGGTAGCTGTGGTGATTGATGGATGGAAAACGACTTGGTTGGGTGTGTTTGGAGTTTAGACTGATGGCTGCATGTTTGAAACGGTTGGATGGGATATAGGATAGGTGCTGGGGTAGGGGAGTTAGATTGCTGTTACTGTGTAAGTTTGCATGGGTTAATTTGGAGGGTTAGATACGAGCTGTGATGGCTGGGGGTTTGGGGGGGTGTGGTTGAAGGGGGGGGGGGTGAGGAATAGAATGAGTGATGGGAGTGGGTGATGGGGGATGGGTAAAAGGGTGTCAATATCATCTGGTTGGCTCCTCGCTGTGTACACCTCACCCTCTCCCCCCCCCCCCCCCCCCACCTTACAGCAGCTGTCAACTCGGCTTATACCTTGCTGTTGCCGCTACTGTGTGTGCGAGTGTGTTTGTGTGTGCGTGCGTGTTTGTTTGTGCGTGTGATATGTTTGTATGCGCGTGTGTGTGCGTGCTCTGATATATCTATATATCTGTGAATACAGGGGCGGCGGTACAGCTGTGCATGTATCTGTCTGTGTGTATACACAAAGGAATTCATGTAAGCAACTGTGTACCGGAGCGTTAGCTGGTACACCGGTATGACCTTCCCCGGAGTACGGAGAAGGTCGTACCGGTGTTACATAGTCTGTAACTCACCGAGCACGGCATAGATGGGGCTCAAGCTCTGTGTATAGCTCTTGGGGTTGGGAGCCTTGAGAGGGTGACAAGTTGCATCGCAATAAGGAGTGTTGATGATTAAAGCTGCACTTACCACTTTAGTTGTAGTCGTATTGTCTTGAGTGGTCATAACAGTAAGCATTTCCTGGTCGTTTAATTAAATGACTTTCCTGCTATCGTGGTATTTCGTTCTGACGTTGCTCACTGAATTTGCCTCGACGAACTCCTGTAGTGGCCCGTTTTCCCTTTACTTGTGAGTCTTGCACTGAGCAAGTTTTTCTTGATATCTCATCAGCTCATCTGTCTCCATGGTCCACCCGTCTCGCCTGGTCCACCCGTCTCGCCTGGTCCTTCTGTCTCATATTGTAAACATTGCCTCTCTGTCTTCCCCTGTAAATTTTCATTAATATCTTCTATACTCTTATCATATTCCATCAGATTCGCCTTTACTTAGGCGTGGTGCGTTTGAGGTCGCTCAATTGTTCTCTGTGAGTGAGTACCCACACCTTCTGCACTTTCATTGTTTCAATTTATGTTTATTCAAGTGTGGAATGCAAATGCCAGTGCTGCATACTCAAGAACTGGTCTAACGTAGGTTAAGAAAGTGTGTGTGGTATCAGTGACTTGTTATACACCATTGAGAGTGGTAGGCACATTGCTTCTGCTCCCTCTTTTAGTATCCATGGACTGATACCGTCTAGGCCTACAGCCTTTGCAAAATGCAATTCAAGCAAATGCTTCCTTACCTCCCCACTGGGAATTACAGACTTCTCCAGTGGTGCCTGGTTAGATGCTTCTTTTCTTAGGTTCTGGAACTTCGCCTTGCTCTATTGTGAAGACCTCCAGGAACCTCTTAATGAGTTTCTCACACATCTTGTCATTTTTTTATTGTTGCCGCCGGAGGTGGCTAGTTTATTGTGCACCCCATATCTGTCGTGGTTCTTCCTGTCCCTATCCTGTTCCTTCACTGTTGTTAGCCTTCTGATGTGGCTGTGCAGCAGTTTGGGTCGGGTCCTTGCTTTATTTGCTATGTCATTTTCGTACTGTCTTTCTGCCTCTCTTCTCACCCTGAGATACTCATTCCTGGCCCTCTGCTATCTTGCTCTGCTCTCTGGTGTCCTGTTATTTCTGTAGTTTCTCCATGTCCTTGTTCATAGTTGCTTTGCCAGTTTACATCCCTGATTAAATCATGGGTTGTTTGAGCAGTCCCACCCCCCCCCCCCCTCGTGGCATAGTAGTAAAACACTCGCTCAGGGCTTCCCAAGTGCTTTGGATTGGGTTCGTATCCTGGCTGGGGAGGATTTACCGGGCGCCAATCCTTAACTGTAGCCTCTGTTCACCCAGCAGTGAATGGGTACCTGGTGGGTAAACTATTTGGCGGGTCGTATTCCAGGGATAACCATCTCTTCGAAACTCCAGTCATTTCCTTTCAGTCGGCCCACTCCTTCCTCTTCGCTTCCTTCCCTCTCTTTCCTTATCACAAGTGTAGTCTGACAATTTCGTCTCTGTGAGTGCTATTACATCCGGATTGTCCTCTTGTTCTCTTGATCGCATTACATACGTGTAATTATCACTTTACATACATGTTTAAAATGTAAACACAGGCAGGATACAGTTGTTAGCAAGGATGACTTAACGAGCCAGTCCGTCCACGTGAGCTGGTCTGAGAGCGCGTGACATGCCAGTGACTCCACAGGTACACAGGTAAACAACACGAATAAGGTGAATGGCTTGACACTTACCTGTTTAGAGCGCCAGGTAAACACTGTTCAGCACAGTACAAGTGATAACAGCAGCCCAGAAGTGTTGCTACACAACCTTGTCATCCTGCCAAGCCTCGTATTTACTATTTACTTTTTGCAACGTTCACATTGTTCATCTTATTTAATTCATACATAAAATGAATTACAATTCTCAGAGAATAAATGATGTCATGTGACAACAATCACAGTGATTTCTGGGGGGTATCCACGTTGTTGCACGTGGTGCCTGGGAGGGGGGCACGTGGTGCCTGGGAGGGGGGCACGTGGTGCCTGGGAGGGGGGTACGTGGTGCCTGGGAGTGGTGTTGTATACACGTGGGAGTGCCCCAGGGGGCAGGGCAGAGTATCACTGGGGAACCACAGGGGTAGCCGGGGAGTGGTGTGCGGGACTGATAACATCACCAAGATGCAGACTTGAGAGGAAAGATGCTTCACCAGTCATCTCTCCTCCACACTAACCATTCCTGGCTGCCTCCTGACTCTCCTCGCTGCCTCCTGACTCTCCTCGCTGCCTCCTGACTCTCCTGACTGCCTCCTGACTCTCCTGGCTGCCTCCTGACTCTCCTCGCTGCCTCCTGACTCTCCTGGCTGCCTCCTGACTCTCCTCGCTGCCTCCTGACTCTCCTCGCTGCCTCCTGACTCTCCTCGCTGCCTCCTGACTCTCCTCGCTGCCTCCTGACTCTCCTCGCTGCCTCCTGACTCTCCTCGCTGCCTCCTGACTCTCCTCTCTGCCTCCTGACTCTCCTGACTGCCTCCTGACTCTCCTCGCTGCCTCCTGACTCTCCTCGCTGCCTCCTGACTCTCCTCGCTGCCTCCTGACTCTCCTCGCTGCCTCCTGACTCTCCTCGCTGCCTCCTGACTCTGCTGACTGCCTCCTGACTCTCCTCGCTGCCTCCTGACTCTCCTCGCTGCCTCCTGACTCTCCTCGCTGCCTCCTGACTCTCCTCGCTGCCTCCTGACTCTCCTCGCTGCCTCCTGACTCTCCTCGCTGCCTCCTGACTCTCCTGACTGCCTCCTGACTCTCCTCGCTGCCTCCTGACTCTCCTCGCTGCCTCCTGACTCTCCTCGCTGCCTCCTGACTCTCCTCGCTGCCTCCTGACTCTCCTCGCTGCCTCCTGACTCTGCTGACTGCCTCCTGACTCTCCTCGCTGCCTCCTGACTCTCCTCGCTGCCTCCTGACTCTCCTCGCTGCCTCCTGACTCTCCTCGCTGCCTCCTGACTCTCCTCGCTGCCTCCTGACTCTCCTGACTGCCTCCTGACTCTCCTTGCTGCCTCCTGACTCTCCTGGCTGCCTCCTGACTCTCCTCGCTGCCTCCTGACTCTCCTCGCTGCCTCCTGACTCTCCTGACTGCCTCCTGACTCTCCTCGCTGCCTCCTGACTCTGCTGACTGCCTCCTGACTCTCCTCGCTGCCTCCTGACTCTCCTCGCTGCCTCCTGACTCTCCTCGCTGCCTCCTGACTCTCCTCGCTGCCTCCTGACTCTCCTCGCTGCCTCCTGACTCTCCTGACTGCCTCCTGACTCTCCTCGCTGCCTCCTGACTCTGCTGACTGCCTCCTGACTCTCCTCGCTGCCTCCTGACTCTCCTCGCTGCCTCCTGACTCTCCTCGCTGCCTCCTGACTCTTCTCGCTGCCTCCTGACTCTCCTCGCTGCCTCCTGACTCTCCTCGCTGCCTCCTGACTCTCCTCGCTGCCTCCTGACTCTCCTGGATGCCTCCTGTCCCACAAGTTACCATGACCCACAAGGTACCATGACCCACAAGGTACCATGACCCACAAGGTACCATGACCCACAAGGTACCATGACCCACAAGGTACCATGACCTACAAGGTACCATGACCTACAAGGTACCATGACCTACAAGGTACCATGACCCACAAGGTACCATGACCTACAAGGTACCATGGGCCACAGGGTACCATGACCCACAAGGTACCATGACCTACAAGGTACCATAACCCACAAGGTACCATGACCTACAAGGTACCATGACCTACAAGGTACCATGACCTACAAGGTACCATGACCTACAAGGTACCATGGGCCAGGCCAGGTGCCCATGGTACCATGACCAACAAGGTACCATGGGCCACAAGGTACCATGACCCACAAGGTACCATGACCTACAAGGTACCATGACCTACAAGGTACCATGACCCACAAGGTACCATGACCCACAAGGTACCATGGGCCAGGCCAGGTACCCATGGTACCATGACCTACAAGGTACCATGGGCCACAAGGTACCATGACCCACAAGGTACCATGACCTACAAGGTACCATGACCTTCAAGGTACCATGGGCCAGGCCAGGTACCCATGGTACCATGACCAACAAGGTACCATGGGCCACAAGGTACCATGACCCACAAGGTACCATGACCTACAAGGTACCATGACCTACAAGGTACCATGACCCACAAGGTACCATGACCCACAAGGTACCATGGGCCAGGCCAGGTACCCATGGTACCATGACCTACAAGGTACCATGGGCCACAAGGTACCATGACCTACAAGGTACCATGACCCACAAGGTACAATGGGCCAGGCCAGGTACCCATGGTACCATGACCTACAAGGTACCATGGGCCACAATGTACCATGACCCACAAGGTACCATGACCTACAAGGTACCATGGGTCACAGGGTATCACGGGCCAGGCCAGGTACCCATGGCGGCAGTCAGCAGCGTGGCAGATCAGGACCAAATACCTGTTATTCGTCCTCTAAAACTTTTTTTTTCGTCCGTTTAACTTTCAGATACTTCGTGTCAGAGGGAAGATAGGATGGAAGATAAGAGAACGAGCGAGACGAAACAAAAGGAGTAAATACGAGAAATTGAGAGAGATAGAGCATGATAAAATACAGATTATGTGAAGAACAAATTACTGGTTGCTCTAATTCCATCAGCAAATCGTGCTGAGCTTGCGGAAACGCTCAGGTTTACAGAGGCACGTGTAACAAAAAAGTTTATGTAGCCATATTGAGAATAACTTTCACCGCTTCAGCACCAATTGCCACTGTAACTATGCAGCTGGCTGCATAGTTTGTTATTGCGTTTTGTTTTGGTCGATGATTATTTGTCAGTTATCACCAACTTAATAGCAAGGTACCATGGTTTAGTGGTTTATGCTATATAAAGCCATAATGGTTTATTGGTTTAATGGTTTATTTAGTTAAAGTACGTGTCCCATCCCTCACGTCCGGTCCATTGTGTGGACTAGACTGGACTCACGTCCAGTCTAGTCCGGTCCATATAGAGCGCAGGAGATCAGTATTTATATGTTAGTTAACAGTTGGAATTCTATTTGTCTGCGGGGGTGAAAAAATCAGGTCTTTGGCCGAGATGTTTCTTGTCCAAATGGGATATTATTATTACTTTGGTTAAGGTGAAAGGCGTAGCTTATTATTATTAGTATTATTTCTGCATTGCCAATCTTGGAGTAAAAGTAAAGATTCGAAGGCAGGGTAAGTCTGGTCCCACGACCAGGCTGGTTTACCTGCCTAACCTGCCTCTATCCTCAACCTGCAACAGCCTGCCTCTCTCCACCTACAACGGCCTGCCTGCCTGCCTCTCTGCTCCACCTACAGCACCAGCCTGCTTCCCTGCCTCTCTGCTCCACCTACAGCACCAGCCTGCCTGCCTGCCCTCTGCTCCACCTACAGCACCAGCCTGCCTGCCTGCCTCTCTGCTCCACCTACAGCAACAGCCTGCCTGCCTGCCTCTCTGCTCCACCTACAGCACCAGCCTGCTTCCCTGCCTCTCTGCTCCACCTACAGCACCAGCCTGCCTGCCTGCCCTCTGCTCCACCTACAGCACCAGCCTGCCTGCCTGCCCTCTGCTCCCCCTACAGCACCAGCCTGCCTGCCTGCCTCTCTCCACCTACAGCACCAGCCTGCCTGCCTGCCTCTCTGCTCCACCTACAGCACCGGCCTGCCTCTCTGCCTCTCTCCTGCAGCACCAACCAACCAATATCACCTTGTAGTACACCCCGACAATCGGTCAAAAACTTCCCACCTGCCCTAAGTACACTCCCTCCCTTATATGTTATCCATTCTTCTCTATAGTCCCCTGTTCTCAATGAACAAATATATATATATATATATATATATATATATATATATATATATATATATATATATATATATATATATATATATATATATATATATATATATATATATATATTCCCCCCAGACAGACATTCGCATGAAATTATCCTTGTAGGATGAAGGCTGCACATATCCTGACTCCGAAGCAGGAGACAGGACTCCATTTAATGGGAAAATGCAAATGGGGGACCAGTTTTCAAGGGATTTAGAAATCTAAATCAATTTTCAAGATTTAGAAGTGCCACTTAGCTGCAGACCAGTATCACTGACGAGCATCTCCTGCAAAGTACTTGATAGAAAAGTTAGGTTAACACTAGTTACACACTTAGAGAATTAGGATTGTCAACAAACACCAACATGGCTTTAGGGATTGGAAATCATGCCTAACAAACCGACTGGAATTCTATGATAAAGTAACGAGAATAAGGCAAAAGAGAGAGATGGATGGATAGATTGCATATTTATGGATTGCCAGAAAGGCTTTGACACAGTACCTCATAAGAGATTACCTCACACCTCACACACAGTACCTCATAAGAGATTACCTCACACCTCACACACAGTACCTCACAAGCTGTGTTGCTCACGCACGCCTGCCTCATGTACCTACCTCCTTGCAACATAAATGAGTAACATAAATCCTCTCTCCTCTTAGGAGGAAATGTATATGTTTATCTCTCATAATATTCGGCAATATGTTCATTGTTTATGATGTGTGTCTATATATGTATGAACACGTTGTACTGAACGGGGTGAGAATAGCTTGAGCTACCTCATCCCTTTGTGTGTATTTTACCTCAATAAACTTATTTCAGTTTCAATTTCAATTCAATTCTCTCTCCTCCATCTACAGCAGGTGCAGGTAAGGTGAGAGGAAGAGTCTACCACCCATACACTCACCGGACAGCTTCTCTCTTCCCTGTGACGGCTCATTCCACAAGGTCACCACCCAGTTGTAAGTGGTATGAATGGCATGGAACGGAGACCGGGTCGGGTCAGTAAGTGCATTGTCTCTATGATGTTTCTAGTGATACCTTCTGCTGCTCGGAGTGATCGACCGCTCTGATCGACTCTATTTCCATGCACGACCGACGCAGGCGGGTGGTAGAATGACCGAGTCGACTGCACATGTGTCACACCGTCACGCTGTGTAGTGACCGCCACACACCTGTTCAGGTGTGTGATGTTTAGCTTAATTCCAAACGCACACGCACACGCAATTCGCACCAGTGGTGTTAGCGAATTGATTATTCTGCCCAACCACTTGGGCTGGATGGTAGAGCGACGGTTTGGCTTCATGCAGGTCGGCGTTCAATCTCCCGACCGTCCACAAGTGGTTGGGCACCATTCCCCCTCCCCCCCTCCTCGTTCCATCCCAAACCCTTATCCTGATCACCCTCCAAGTGCTATATAGTCTAATGGCTTGGCACTTTCCCCCTCATAGTTCCCTTAACTTGTCTCAGTGGCATTTGTAATTCAATGACTCTATTGTCGTCTCAGTGACCTGAATTAGTTCCAAGATCTATTGTCGTCTCAGCGACCTGAATTAGTTCCAAGATCTATTGTCGTCTCAGTAGTGACTATTTCAGTCACCGTTTATGTCTTGTTGACATGCAATATATTTTGGTGATTATTAGTGTGTTTGTCACGTGTGTTAGTAATCAATGTGACATTGTTATTGTGCGTAATGGTAAGTTACGCACATGAGTCATTGATGGGCCATGTGTATGTGTGCACATGAGACACGATAACCAAGAACACTGGGGGTTGAGAAGGTGTACATGAGACACGATAACCAACTATACACGTTATAAGCTTTAAGTATGCCTGCTAAGCTTTCTGGTGTTGTATATGACTGATAAGCTTGATGTGTGTGTGTGTGTGTGTGTGTGTGTGTGTGTGTGTGTGTGTGTGTGTGTGTACTTACCTAATTGTACTTACCTAATTGTGCTTGCGGGGGTTGAGCTCTGGCTCTTTGGTCCCGCCTCTCAACCGTCAATCAACTGGTGTACAGATTCCTGAGCCTATTGGGCTCTATCATATCTACATTTGAAACTGTGAATGGAGTCAGCCTCCACCACATCACTTCCTAATGCATTCCATTTGCTAACTACTCTGACACTGAAAAAAAACTTTCTAACGTCTCTGTGACTCATTTGGGTACTCAGCTTCCACCTGTGTCCCCTTGTTCGCGTCCCACCAGTGTTGAAAAGTTCGTCCTTGTTTACCCGGTCGATTCCCCTGAGGATTTTGTAGGTTGTGATCATGTCCCCCCTTACTCTTCTGTCTTCCAGTGTCGTGAGGTGCATTTCCCGCAGCCTTTCCTCATAACTCATGCCTCTTAGTTCTGGGACTAGTCTAGTAGCATACCTTTGGACTTTTTCCAGCTTCGTCTTGTGCTTGACAAGGTACGGGCTCCATGCTGGGGCCGCATACTCCAGGATTGGTCTTACATAGGTGGTGTACAAGATTCTGAATGATTCCTTACACAGGTTCCTGAACGCCGTTCTGATGTTAGCCAGCCTCGCATATGCCGCAGACGTTATTCTCTTTATGTGGGCTTCAGGAGACAGGTTGGGTGTGATATCAACTCCTAGATCTTTCTCTCTGTCGTTTCATTAAGTACTTCATCTCCTATTCTGTATCCTGTGCC